GTTCAGATGGAACATGATCTGTATTGAGCAGCTCTTTTGTTATACTGAATTTATTTAACAAAAATAAAGATTAAAAAAGATTGATAAAATAATGTAATAAGATTATTAACTATATTTTTTTCTACTGAATATTCGCTATAGCCAGTTGCTAAATATTGCTGTAAAAGAGACTTAAAACATGTAAGACGACAAGTTTAGATGGATATCTTTGTATTTGCATCCTATTTTTATTAATTACAATTGATTATAAAAGCTTTTACTCAATTCCGCACCAACTAGTTTTTGGCGAGTTTAAAAAAAAATATTTAAAAAATGTATTCCCTTAGGCCTAATTAATATATTGATGTTCCTTTTATAGATTATTGTAATTTAATAAAAATTGTTGTATTTACTGTTTCAATTACACCACCCTACTGAGGCTCGTATTTATGCCCGTATTTAAATTATTTATGTATTTTCATACATCGTAACAAATAATTAGTATTTGGGTATTTAAATATATAGCAAGGAACACAAAATTCAGCAAATATATAATATAAATAATATAAAAATTTCCGAGTAGTCGAGTTCGTCTTTGACATTGGTTGAAAAAATTGAAGGGACAGCTCCTACCCAGTAAAAAAGAAAGTATTGAGGGGAGCGTTTAGGAATTGAGTGAAGCTCTGAGCCAATACGGATTCGAATAAAAACCGTATTGGCACGTTTGACTCAATCTTTTTTTCATCCGCCGAATACGGTCTTATTTTAGCATTAAAATTAAAATCACATGGGCAGAGTACACATTATAAATTGAAAGCACAATTGTGCTGAAATGTAAAAATGCCGATTTTTATAAGAAACAGTGAATATTTGTTAAAAATTGGTAAAAGCAAAGTTTAACAAGCACGACTAAATTTACCATGAGAATAAATGAAGTGGTTAGTTTAAATGGACTAAAATAAATCTACTGTTACCGACAGAAAGTTCCTAGAGCATTGTAAAACAATGAAATTTAGTTGTTTTGTTGAATTTACCACAATTCTCTAGGAACTTTTTGTTGGTAAAAGTAGATTTCTTTTAGTCCATTTAAACTTACCACTTCATTTATTCACATGGTAAATTTAGTCGCGCTTGTTAAACTTTGCTTTTACCAATTTTTAACAAATATTCACTGTTTCTTATCGAAATCAATATTTTTACATTCCAGGACAATTGTGCTTTCAATTTATAATGTGTACTCTGCCTATGTGATTTTAATTTTAACCCACATAACACGTAATATTGCAGCAACATTGCTGCAACATTTCTCTGAGACATTTGAAATATTTCATTGATATATTTCTGCAATGTTTCAGAAACATTGTTATGTCCGACTCAAGAAACATTACAATGAAACGTTTCAGAAATATTGCAAAACAATTTTCAGCAAAATTCTCTAGATATTGCTAGAAAATTTTTTATAACTTTCTGGAAATATAAATAGTATATTACATTATAAGGGCAGAAAGTTCGAAATTCCTGCACTGCGCGAAATGATGCCCGAGGCGAAGCCGAGGGCATTATCGCGTAGTTTAGGGCTTTCGAATTTCTGCCCGTGTAATGTATACTATTTTTCTTTATATACGGTCGAAAGTACGCTGGGTAATTTATTTTTTAAGAAAATTGCAATCGAGTTTCATTTGACAGCCGGCCATCTTTATTTACTTTTGCTCCTCGCTTCAACGCCTCTAGCGGACACTCGTGAAGCTCTGGTTTTTTCTCTGTCTCTCTCTTGCAAACAATATTCGCCTGCCCCGACATTTGATGCACGAGCGAAGCGAGTGCTTCTGGTCGGGGGCAGGCACGAAAAAAAATGTGAAAGATAAATTAATATTATATTTTCAAAAGAATTTTTCTGGTGGTACAAAATTAATTCTATGTTTCTAAAATTCTAAACATTCTAATGAAAACACTTTCATTATTTCTTCAAATTATTACAATTTTATAATAACATTTTGGCACGTATTAAAAAAGAAATTACAAAATTATTAATTATTTTATTCTTGTTTTTAATGTTTATTAAAATAATTTTTGAAAATAATTATATCAGCAAAAGATTTCGTTCATTTCAATATTCAGAGCTTGTGGATAATAAATTTATAAAGTATAAAAAGTTTTCTTGATAATTTTTTTTCTCATTTTATATTGCGATAACAATTACTCGTTAAATTGTCATTGAACTCAAAATTTTCTTATTTACCGACAGTGGTGTTTTTACCGACAGAGAATTCTTTTACTCCCGCTGTAATAGAGGTTGGGTATGAAAATCAACCAAAGCACAAATGTTTGACTTTCTGCTGCGAAATCGCAGCGGGAAATACGTACTTTCGACCGAGGTATGAAGAAAAAAAAATTTTCATAAAAGTCTATGAAACATTGCGATATAAGATTCCAGCAATATTGTAAGAAAATATTTATAAAAATTTTACTAATATTTTATAAAATATAATTTTTGTAATTCTTTTTAAGCATTTGAATTAAAATAAAATATTACAAGTAAAAATAGAAAATCACAGGGAATCAATGTAACAATAATTTGTGATTCTTTTTTTATTCTCTACGACTGTAGAAGTTAAAATATTTACACCATCAGAAAATAATAACAATTCTTAAAATAACGAAGTAGAAAAATTTCCATAAGATTTAAGTTTATTGCGGAAGATTAAATAAAGTAAATAAACATTATTTCATATATTGGCGATAAATAAATTTTCTTTTAGTTTAACAAATAGCAATTCATTTAAAAAAAACAACAAAAAAATTACTAACGTATTTAGTATTTTTCTCTTCTATACTCTTCTTCTTTACTGTCTGCATCAATAAAATAGTCTATTCGTCTATCAGCTTCCGATTAATTTTCCGTGAATTCATTGTTTTATTTTGCTCTGTAAAAGCAAAATTATTAAGTTAACATTTTAAACAAAATAGAAGTGTAACTAATTTATAGATTCAACGATTGTCAGTTTTGTGAATGAATTTCTAGATTATTAATTCTTATGTTTTTAAAAGAGGTAAGTAACAGGTTGGACAGGTAAGTAAATTAAAATAAATTATATTTTATTTATTCAAATTAACAAATATAAGTAAAGGTAAGTGAATGTAAGATATAATTATTAAAATTTCAAAAATAAATATTAAGATAAATACTTTGATATTAGCAAGTCTTGATAAAAGTATTATTGGTTTAAGAACATATTTACCTGATAGAATTTCAGTTTATATAGAAACTGTATGAAGTAATGGGAACACTATTGATTTCTTGTTTCTTATTGGAATCTTCCACAATTTCGCTGCTACTTTTGATAATGGCCAAGAAACTAATACGTCACCATCAGCTTCAATAATTTTTTGAATATTGAAATTACTCGAGTTGCAAGGAATTACATACAGATCTCCTTGAGGAATGCATTTTTTTCCTATCAAATAAACATCATTTTTTTCATATTTTACAATATTTGAAATTATACCAATTGAACCATCTTTGAAGAGAAGGCAATCATTTCTCTGGCTAGTACAATCAACGAATATTTGTCCATAATTAAGAATTTTAAATTGCCCGGTTACTTTACTGTTATTAATTAAAGGCCCATTAAAATGAGGATTTTTCACAACTTTTACTTAGTTGTTGTAAAGGCTTATTTTTCTCTTAATTTAGTTTTCACTGTTTTCACTTTCATAAAATTTTCAAATTTGAATGCACTAAATTTATCCAAATGTCCATATTTTTCAACATCTTTACTGATATGAAGTGCATTATGTAAATTGTGCGACATGAATTGTTTTCCATAGACAACTTCAAACGTTTGAACAAAGTATTCAATAAGTTGTTGGGCATAATCAATATTTTCTTGAAATTCAATCCATGCAACGCTTGATAAAATTGTCACTGCTACATGAAGCGACAAAAAATTTGTATAGACATCCTGGTTTTTGACTACCTTCAGAACGATTGGGCCACTATACAATAAAAAATTCCTGAATTCTGTAGCCTTCCAGTACTTCACATCTCTTAAGGATCTCGGTCGTCTGGAGAAATCTGTGGGCTGGCTTTTTCTTAACTCTATCAATTTAGCAGAAATTTTATCAATTTCATCAGCAGAAAGTTTTACTTTATGAGGACCGTATAACCATAGATGAATTAACTTCTTCATTACACCCAATAAGAGGAGGTGCATGTAATCCAATGGTACATCAGAAACAGCCCCAAATCCAGGAATCTTTGTCAAAATACTTAATTCTGCCTCTTGATAAGTTCCCGCATAAGCATGCTCAGTAAATTCTTTGACAGTTCTGTCTTCAAATGGCCCGATCCCTGGAAAAAAAACTCGTCGTTTTTTCTTCTTTTGATTCCTTTTCTTGTGGGCAGGTAAAATCCCCTCTCCTTTATATTTGCATTTTGAGCACGAATCATACCCGGTATGACCTTTTACTTTTAATACCAGACATTTTGCTGGAACATCACAAATCAATCCTGAAATATTAACTTGAATTCGTTTATTTTCAAAAACCATACCATCTGTACATACTAATTCTGTTTCTTCTAAAAACTTTGACAAAAACTCATTTGAATTTAGAGGATGGTGACTAGCAAAATAAGATCCGATTAAATACACATCTTCTGATTTTACTTCAGAACCCATTATTAACCATAAGGAATTTTTTGAAGCTTTGTAAATTTGAAGACCATCGATGTTGATAAATAAATTTATTTCATTAATTTTGTTTCCTCTAGAAATCCGTTTCTTAATAATTAAATCTAAAGCTCGCTTCAGACCAAAATGTATATATTCTCCTCCGTCAGGCATGGTAATTATTGGTTCTGAATTTCTTGGAGTTTTCAAAAGAGTTCGAGCAGTTCGGGGTAACACATAAGTTGTGAATTGACTTAAAATTAAAAGTAATGCGGTAATAATAACAAGAGAAATATTATATAAAAGAGCCCAATTGCGTAAAGCGCTTTTAAATAATTTATTCTTGTCAAGTTAAGATTTTTCTTCTTCACCTTCATCTTCTTCGGACTCGGAAGAGCTAGGACTCGTGTTATTGTTTCTGTCAGAATCACTGTCTGACAAATTAAAATCAAATTCTTTTTTTTTCATGTCACAATCTGTCGAATATTCTGAATCTTCATCACTGTCAATAGTATTTATGTCCAAATAATTAGTATGCATACTTTCTTCTTTGAAGTTGTTCGTTTCATCAAAATTAAAGAACTCAGTTACGCTGTCTGAATCCGGTGAAAAATTCATCTGATCATCATCATCATCATCAATAGAAAAATTATCGTCGTTAGAAATATCTCCATCATAAATGTTTTCTTCGGATTTTTCAAAATTTTTATTATAATTTACGTTTAATTCTTCATGATCATCGTTTGATTTCCCATTAACATTGTGATAAGCTAATTTTTTTATTTCTAATTTTGTCTGCTGATTTCGTAATCGCCGAATATGTCTATTTGAGTATCCAAATTCTTTACTTGCTTTTGGCATGATAAATGATGAAATATATTGGTAAAATGTAGTGATCTGAAATAGATTAAAAAAGAGAAGAGAAAAATTTTAATTAATACAATTTAGGTCCAATTATATTAATTCTACTGAAAAAAATTAAAATTGTTTTATGAAAACGTTTACGATTTAGAAAAAGTATGCTTAAATGAAAATCATGAAAAATTGGATTACATTTTTTTTTCAGTCAATAAAAGTTTCGAAATTACACTGGGGTCAAAAAGTTTCAGTACATTTGTACTGATTACTGTTAAGTGCTCGCTTCACTTAAGATTCAAATATTTCTGTAAAAATGGATGTAAGAGCTATCAAAGTAGGATCATTTTAAAGGTCAGTAAATTTAGAGTCAAGTAGGCTAAGATATAACCAATTTAATAGTGTAAATATTGAAAATATAATTATTTAAAGTTAGAGATTTTTCGTGAAAAATGCGATTTTGAAATCTAGAACTCAAGCGCACGCCAATTGAAGAAAATTTTTTTTTAAGATTTGATAGTTGCACAATATTAAGTACAAATTTCATTCTTTAATTCTAGACCAAAATAATTCACATATATTAAGCATTTTCTTCAAATTCTATAAAAATAACTTTCCTTGCTCTCGAAATTTTTCAAAGAATATTAATTGCAAATTCGTCGTTTTCGTTAACTTATTTTTTCAATTAACCACACTTTTGAAAAATAAGCACCTTTTTTTATTGAAAAATAAAAAAATAGACACCTAGAATGAAAATAAGGAATAATGATACAGTTAAAATTTGTAAAATTATAAGAAGAGGGATAAATTTTATGTAAATAACTTAAATTTCCTAAGATGAAGAGGTTCTATATTTTTAAAAAGTGTGGTTATTTGATAGAACAAGTGAATGAAAACGACAAATTTGCAATTTATATTCTTCAAAAAATTTAGAGCAAGAGATATTATTTTTGTAGAATTTGAAGAAAATACTTAATATATGTGAATGATTTTGGTCTAGAATTAAAGAATGAAATTTGTACTTTCTATTGTGCAACTATCAAAACTTAAAAAAAAATTTCTTCAATTGGCGTACGCTTGAATTCCAGATTTAAAAATCGCAATTTTCACAAAAAATCTCTAACTTTAAAGAATTTTATTTTTAATATTTACACTATTAAATTGGTTATATCTTAGCCTACTTGACTCTAAATTTACTGACCTTTAAAATGATCCTACTTTGATAGCTCTTACATCTATTTTCACAGAAATATTTGAATCTTAAGTGAAGCGAGCACTTAACAGTAATCAGTACAAATGTACTGAAACTTTTTGACCCCAGTGTATTCTTGACTTGCGACCACCCTGAATTTAATCATGAAATAAGTTCTAAAATTTAGAAAATTCCATGTAAGCCGACAATCATGTAGAAGAGCAATAAAATTTAAACCATTGAATTATACTGGTAATTTCTTTAAAATTTATGTTTTTTATTTGTCCTTGTAAACTATTTGTATCGTTTTTCCAAATTCTGTACAATGTATTTCTTAGTTGTTAAAATATTTCAATTTTTTTAAAAATATTTTGCAATTGATTAAGAATAATTTTTATTAAATTTGAATAATGTAAAAGGTGTATTCCACGTCAGTTCAACACAAAAAATTTTATTAGGTTTTGGGATTCGGTTGAAATTGGGTAGATTATATCCTCTGGTGGTAATAAATAAAATCCCCAAGCGATTTTAAAAAATTTCAAAAATTGGCGGACATATTGGATTTTTAATTTTTTTGTACTTTTTTTTGAAAAATATATATCTCTGCTTGTTCTTAACGGATTTTAGTTTATGACCTCTTAAATTGTTCGTATTGAAATATACTTTTATTTCAAAAATTAAAATTAAAAAAATTATTTAAATTTTTTGTTTAAAAAATTAATTTAATTTTTTGAAAAGCCATAGAAAAAATATGCTACCTTCAATTTTGATCATTTTTTTATTATTTGTAGCCATAAATGTGTTGAACTTGTCCTGAAATTTTCATCGTGGGACAGCCAGTAGTTTTTGAGAAAAAAAATAAAACGTAAATCCTCGCATAGCGCTGTAGCGCTCAGTTTTAATGCCGCACGATTGTAAATGGAATTTTAATGAAAGTACGAGTTTTTATTAACCCTAGAACTAAAATATGATTTTTTTATAGACTAACGAAAAACTGGGGTGGTTTGGTACCCCAGATTTGAAACAATTGTAAAAGTTTTCCTTTTTTGTAATTTTTTTAATTTGTCAACAATGTGGCTAATTTGAAAAAATTAAACGGATTTTAAAAGGTAAATAAAGAAAAACTGTAAGACCTCGGAAACTCCCCCGTAAAAAATAGAAACCTCCTTTGTAATAAATGATTTTGATTCTATTTTAAAATCATTTAACATTTGTATATATTGTAAATAATATTTAAATTTTCAAGTTGCCTTAATCAAAATAAAATTGTCTCTATTTACCTTTTAAAATCCGTTTAATTTTTTTTAAATTAGCCACATTGTTGACAAATTAAAAAAATTACAAAAAAGGAAAACTTTTACAATTGTTTCAAATCTGGGGTACCAAACCACCCCAGTTTTTCGTTAGTCTATAAAAAAATCATATTTTAGTTCTAGGGTTAATAAAAACTCGTACATTCATTAAAATTCCATTTACAATCGTGCGGCATTAAAACTGAGCGCTACAGCGCTATGCGAGGATTTACGTTTTATTTTTTTTCTCAAAAACTACTGGCTGTCCCACGATGAAAATTTCAGGACAAGTTCAACAGATTTATGGCTACAAATGGTAAAAAAATGATCAGAATTGAAGGTAGCATATTTTTTCTATGGCTTTTCAAAAAATTAAATTAATTTTTTAAACAAAAAATTTAAATAATTTTTTTAATTTTAATTTAAATAATTTTTTTAATTTTAATTTTTGAAATAAAAGTATATTTCAATACGAACAATTTAAGAGGTCATAAACTAAAATCCGTTAAGAACAAGCAGAGATATATATTTTTCAAAAAAAAGTACAAAAAAATTAAAAATCCAATATGTCCGCCAATTTTTGAAATTTTTTAAAATCGCTTGGGGATTTTATTTATTACCACCAGAGGATATAATCTACCCAATTTCAACCGAATCCCAAAACCTAATAAAATTTTTTGTGTTGAACTGACGTGGAATACACCAAAATAATTGCAAATCCCAAATAATCACAAAAAATAACGCATATCAACAATGAAAATTTCAGTGTTGAAATTCCACTGTAAAGTTCTAAACACATTTCAAGCATTGTTTAAATAATTCAATAATTTGCACCTGGTGATAAAATCTGCACCAACAATGTTTAATTCAATTAAATAAAAATAATTAAATTGATGATTTTAAAAATTCTCATTTGCTTGATTAATTTTAATATTAATTTTAAATTCAATTATTATATTAATTAACCATAAAAACTTTCTTTATTAAGTACAAAAATTTTTTTTAAATATTTATTTTACTATAATATATCAAAAATATATAGTTTATTAATTTATTTTAATTATACTTACGTAACAATGGCACAAGATTAGACGTTGAAAATTGGAACACCAAACATTTTTTTAATAAGTACAAAAAACATTTATATTAATATTCAATTCGTAATAACGTGCCCGAAATTTATTAATTTATTTTAATTAGGGGCCGTACACATAATACGTCACGCGGCTAGGGGGAGGGAGGGGGTCTGAGAATTGTGACTAAGTGTGACATGGGGAAGGGGGGGGTGAACTCATGTGTTACGTCACAATCTTTTAAATTCAAAGTTTATAAGAAATTATATGTGACAATGTCACTTTTTCTAAATAAAACAAGTTAAAAATGCTTTAAACTATTTAATATCTATTATGTACCTGCACTGAGAAAAATAGATATTAAGCCTTATTATCTAGATATTAATGGTCAATATCTGTGACAGTGAACTATGTAAACTTCTTAGATGTTCAAATTTAATATCTAAGATATTGGAAAAAGACTTGTTCAAACATAACTTCACATTTACAGATTATACTTTTTAACATCTGAGATATTAAACCATAACATCTAGATGATATGCATTAGCATCTTTTCTTAAGATCTAGTATATTAAGATTTTTAATATCCAGTTTTCTCAGTGTGTTTAACATCTATTGGCATACTATTTATAATATGATAAATAATATATATATATTCTCTTAAACTGAATCAGTTAAAAATCATGGTTTTAACTGACAATCAGTAGTAACTGACTTTTTGTTTCTGAATCAGTTAAAAATAACTGAAAAATTATCCACAAAACACCGAAATTTTTCTAAATATTGTATATTAAAGATTTGCTTGCATAATTCGAAAAATTTACTTGCAAAGTTTATTTTAAAATTGTGTAAAGATTTAGATTTCTCACTCCAATAAATGTCTATCGTCAAATTTTCTTAAAAATATAGCTTGGAACTTTCCAGAACATTTGAATTGCATTTTCGACTATACTTTCCTGAAAATTTAACTTAAATTTTCAGGAAAGTTTCGCGCTAAACATTTATTGAAGTGGGATATTTAAATCTTTACACAATTTTCACTAAACTTTGCATTTAAATATTTCGAAGCTTGCGAGTAAATCTTTAGTAAATTTTTAGGAAAGTTTCGGTGCTATGTAGGCAGTTAAACGTGACTAATTGAATCAATCAAAAACAATTGTATTGTAACATCAGTTATTTTCAACTAATTGTCAGAAAAAAAATATTACTATTTGAATTAGTGACTGACTTTTTGCTTCTAAATCAGGTATTTTTAACTGATTCAATAATTTAGAGTGTAAGATATAATATATATTGTCCAATGTATAACATTTACAGTAAAATTTACGTGTGTGACGTGCCGTAGGGGGGAGGGGGGGTTCAAGATTTGTGACGAAGTGTGACATAGGGGGAGGGAGGGGTTCAAAATGGTCAAAAATCGCGTGACGTATTATGTGTACGGCCCCTTATATTTATTAATCAATAACATAAAAAGTTTGACGTTTATCGATTGAATAATTATTTTTCATACTTTTATCACTTGTAAATGCACGTACATTTTTAAATTCTATCATAAAATATGTTTAAAAATTTTAACACTAGATAACGCCACGAAGATCTGTCACATTTGTGTAAAATATAAATAAACAAATTTTTCTTAGTTACCAGTAAATAGCTTTTCATTGTTTAACATTGTGCTGCTGTTCACTTCATAGTAAAAATTGAAGATTTTCTGTCAAATTGTAAACAAGTTTTCATAATGGAGAAAATTGAAGGTAAAATGTAGAATTTCAACAAAAACCTTTATTTTAATTTTATACTCATGTTTTACATTTTTAATAAAAAAAATTTTAACTCCAGAAAATTCTTCAGAAAAATTGCCGTACTCCGTAGTAGAACTCGAAGATGGTGTAGTTTTGGTTCCAAGTAAATGGATTATAAATCCGCAGGACGATAAATATTTATGTTATTATCCATCTATTAAAGAGGCTGCAAAGATTAATGAGATGGTCGCCAAATTAATAGACCTACAAATAACGTGGAAGCAATATTTAGTTTTGAATTATTTAAAACAGACAGGTTAGAGTAAATACGTAATAATAAACATAAAAGTCATACTTGTAATTAAAAAATATTAATATTGCATGTAGAAAGATTTGCAAAAAATTACGGAAACTTCTACCTGTAATTTTCCAGCTCATTTCTGAAAATTTTTTAGATGGAATAACTAATTATCAATTGTATTTTTTTAATATGCAATTAATTATTATAAGTACAAATTTTTAAAAAATTAATAATAAATAAACAACAAAAATAAACACATATTAATTTAGTTGATGATCATAATTATTCTATTGTAATTATCAAAAAAATTTTAATTTAGCTACTTTGGAAAAAGGAAAAGAAAAACTTTTAGATGCGCTTGTTTTAACTGAAATTGACAGTGATGTAACAGAAGATTATTCAGTCAAATATAAAAAATCAAGACATGAAAGGGCTAAAAAATCTTCACTAGAAGAAACTGTTAATTTGAAAGGTACATTAAAAAGTACAATTTACAGTTTTATTTAATTTAGTAATTCAAATATTAAGTAATAATTAAATAATTAGCAATAAAAATTTAAAAAATTCTTAAATTATACAATATAAAATTTTTAAACAGTTATTTTCGTTTCTAAATTTTTAAAAAATTTATAATACTTTATATTAGGATCCAATAAATTTCAAAATGCAGCTCTCAACGAATTGGAATTTTCTAAAAGACAAAAAGCAGCAAAGATTGGGGCTGAAAGATCGGAAAAGAAAATTAATCTTCCATTGCCACCAGCAAAACGATGTAAACTGAAGATTGCTCAGAGTAAAAAAGGTTACGGTAAATTTACTAAAAACGTCATATATTTATTCAAATTGTTAAAGAGAATTAAGTAAAATTCTGTATTATAAAAATTGCGATTTTTTTACATTCATAATAATTTTCGGTAGACTTCGATAATTCAGTCCAACAAGAAGCTAAAAGCAATTCTAACCTTGGAAAATGTTCCGAAAAAAATCAAAGTGTGGAAAATCTCTTGAAAAATAAACAAAAACCAAAAATAATTGATACTATAATACTGGTGACGAAAATTGATATTCCATTACCTCCAACGAAACTATCTAAACAAGAGATTGCTCAGAGTAATAAAGTTGACGGTAAATTTACTAAGAACATTATAAATTTATTTTATTTATAAAAGAAAAATATATAAAATATTTAAAAAATAAAAATAAATAAATAAAAAAACATATAAATAAAAAATATATGTAACTATTTGTCTCCATGAACATTTTACAGGAGCCTTTGATAATTTAGTCCTTCAAGAAGAGATCCACAATTCTAAACCTGGTACATCGGCAAATATTACTTCAAATGAGGAAATTCTTCCGACATACAAGCCACCGGAAAGACAGTTAAACTTTGGGATTGATGAAAATTACAAAGTTAACGGTAAATGTCGTTTCTGGTAATTTTAATTCTTAAAAATGCGATTTTTTTGCAAAACTGTTAATATTATATTAATTGAATTAAGTTCTTATACTTATTTTAATCTAATAAATTTAATTGCATCAGCTTATATTTCAAATCGCTTATGTTTTTAAAGAAACTGATGAAAATACTCCTCTGCTTGTACAAGAAGGTAACAATTTAACTGGAGCTCAAAGAAGAAGTTCATCTAAACCCGAAAATTCCATGGCAAGCATTGCGTTTCAAGACAAAAAATCTGGTAATTTAAATAAAATAAAAAACTATTTAGATCTTATTTTTATTATTGATAAATGAATTAATTTGAAATAAAGAAAAAATAGTTTGTAAATTGAATATCCCTGATCCAATCAGAATAATGCATCTAATCTATCAGTGTGTATTTCAGGATTATCTTATGAAGAATTATCTTTGAAAAAGATGAATGAAATAATTTTATTATTAAGAGAACTAAAAATTCAACATGGAAATAAGACCTGCAGTTCGACCAATACCTCCCGATCGTTTTTTGATTCCAGCAAATGCCCTCAATTGCCAATAGCTTCCAAGAAGGACCTGATAACAGCTGATGAAAAATTGCAACACAAATCACTTAAAACAAAACTGGTAAATAACTTTAGAAATAAATAAACGAAAATAAAAATATTTTGAATTCAAAAAAAGTTATGACAGATAAATGAAATAAGCAAGTAAATAACATTTTAATTTGAGTTTTATAATATTTAGATAACATTACTTTTTATTAAAAACTTAAAAAAATTTAATTTATATTTGTATTTTTAGAAAAAAGGAAACTGATTAATTACGCAATAATCAGGTTATTTAGACTAATTTTATACTTGTTTTAATGTTTTCCAGATAGAAGCATTAGGATCTATTGGCGGACGAGACATCCCTATTAAAAATCCTACGTAGGATCCAGCGTAGGATCTAACGTAGGATCCTATTAGGATCCCATGTTGAATACTAAGTAGTTAACTACGTATGAAACAGCTCAGGATCCTACGTAGGAAACCGGTTGGGAAACTATGTGGGAATTTGGGACAGGATCCTACGTAGGATCCTGATAGGAAACTATGTCGATAGAAATATCGACATTTCCTGATAGGAAACTATGAATGATAGAAATTACTAGTTTTTCACATTATATGTATGTTGTATATATTAACGTTTTAAATACTTGTCATGCATTCAATATTGAATTTTTTACTTTGTCGATAAATATTATTTTTCACGCTTATCATAATAGTATAATTTCAAACGGATTTTTAAAAATTGTAATAATTGCCTACTAAATTATATATATATATATATATATATATATATATATATATATACATATAACTAAAAAGGTTGGGGTTTTTAAAAAGTTAACGTACAACCTGTATATATTTTATCAAGAACTTTATTTAAATTGTGTTCTGTTATAAATGTAGAAAGAAACAAATCATTAGTAACCATTTTTATATAAGAGAATATTTCAGAAAATATTTTATTTAAAAATTTTAAAAAAATTGTTTAAGTAACGTAGTTGTAGTGTAGTTTTTATCTTCTCCTCTTACAGTCATTTATTTTTTGTGACATGTGACTCCATATGCGTTTCATTCGCACTGCGCGATTATCCCCAGAAGCTTTATTTTTATATTTCAACTTATATTTTAGGGCATCTAAAATTCAGAAAAAGAAGTAGATGGTTAATATTTAATCATTATTTTTTTAAAAAAAAGAAGATTTTCAAAAATTTCAAATTCAATAACGTATAAGAATATTGTTCCTGTAACATCTTCAAAATTATTTTCAAAATTTCGATTTAATTATTCATTTCTGCAATTTTGAACTACAATTCTTATTTACATTAATTTTTTAAAAATAATTTTTCAAAAAGTTGTTTGAGAATTTTCAAATCTTTTTGTTTACAATTCAATTTTACGAAATTTAGATTATTCTGAAATTCTTTAATTAAATATGTATTGGAAAAGAAAAACTATAAATTATTAAAAAAAATTGAATTATACTTAAACATTCACGCTAAAATGCTTTCAATATTAAATTTTAATCCAAAATTTTACCTGAAATACATTTTTAAATCAATATATATTTATTAGAAAACTCTACAAGAATTTAGTTATTTAAATACAAAAATAAATATTTTTATTAAATAATAGAATGTTTTTTAAAATTGAATTATTTTAAAGAATTTTAGAAACAAATTTTCTAAATAATTAAACTTCCAGTGGAAAATTTTACGAATTACACTACATACTTTTAAAAATAACTGAATTCTTGAGACGAATTTTAGTAAAATTTCTTTTTAAATAATTTAATTCTTTTGTGAAATTTTATTGAAATAGTAGATATTTAAAATAATTGAATTTTATTTAAAACGAACATGTAATATGTTTTGCCAAAGCTTGGACAAGCCACGGCGGCCAGTGCTGGCTGAGTATAGAAAAATTGTTCACAACGCTCTTTGCCAACATTGCTTTTTCTACATAAACTTCAAACAAATGATAAAAAAAAGTTTATGAATGTTTATAAATATAAATTTATTGAAAAAAATTAATACTTTACTTTTCAGTTATTCATTTTTTATTTTTATTAAATTTCATAATAATAATAATTTAACATAATTGTCTAATTTTGTAAATAATAAATTATTTAAATAAATTAAAATTATAAACAAAATTTAAACTTTAATCTCAATAATAATTTATTTCCTATTAAAATACTATTATACTTCTTACTATAAATAAAACATTATTAAAAAATTACCACTTGTAAATTAATGTTAAATGCAATAAGTAAAGTAATTTAATTTAATTTAATTATTAAAAATTTAGTTTAATTTATTTTAATTCAATTTATTATTTCTAACGTATCCCTATTTTTTCATTTTTCATTCAATAATTGTAAGTCTGAATGATACTGAGATATTATAACTTTACCGTGCACACGTGTCGTTAGCATAGTGGTTAGAGCGTTAGTCTGTAAGCCCGTAGGTTCGATTCCCCTCGTGAGCAATTTTGTTTATTTTCATAGGTTTGCGATATTTCTAGATTCCAATCGTTAGGTACTAATATATATATGAAAATCTAATGCACACTTACTGTAATTGTCTATTATTTAATTTTTAAATGTTATAAACAATTTTTTTCTCCTTCATTTACTATATCCATTTGCAAGTCTCCATCTTTAATACAATTTCAATCTTTAAGAAAAGAAATATTTTATGAATAATAACTATTTATTCATATTATTTACCATTTTGTTGTTAAATTATTTATAATTATTAATTTACGACTAATTAATAACAATATAGCATTTATTGCGGCAATATTCTCAGCCAGCACTGGTCCAGTGCTGCGCCAGCACTGTCTGTCAGCACTGGCAGGCAGTACTTCGCCAGCGTTAGACAGCGTTATTATCCCAGAGTTATGCCAGTGCTGTCTGTCAGCGTAGATGCCAGTACCGACAGTGCTGGCGCAGTACTCCGCCAGTTGTAAATTTCCCATTGGGAATTAAATTAATTTAAATATATTTATGCGATATACAGCACAATTCTGGCTTAACATTTGGCGTGCCAATTACAGCGTACACAATGAGCTAAATGTTTTGCGCACCGGTTGTTTGGACTGTGTTTGAATCAGACATTTTGGACTGCTGCCAGTAGTTTCCAAACGAAGGGTTTCGCATGCACGTATAAAGAAAATAATTTATCAAACATTTTTAATTTCAACAATACATAATAAAATAAAATAATTGTAAAGAAATTAATAAGTTATACCTTTAACTAGTTGATACTTGTCAGGAGTCAATATTTTCATGTTTTCTCTTTGGCCTCTTGGGTTTTCTTTCATGTATCTATTTTTAAGAACGTTCTTGCCCCACAGAATTTCAGACATGTCTCTGACAAATTTCGAGTCATTTTTCATTAACATCAACAGCCAAGTGTCCTCCTGGATGAAATAATTACTGCCAAGATAAACCTAGAATATAACAATAAAATTGTTTAAACCGAAGTCTGACAAAGTACTTAATTTGTTTATTTTTGGTCAGTTGTAGCGGTAGATATCACTAATTATGAACCACAATTTGGTTACGGATTTAAAATGCACTGTTTTGTAGCTGCAAATTCTTTATGATCAAACATTCTGTTACTGATAAAAAAAATATTTTTAAAGTATTTTTTATAAGTTGTTTATTATTTTCAAATTATTCAGAAATCCTTAATTTATTTTGAAAATTAAATTTTTTTTGCTGATTTATTTTTAAATATATTTTACACTACAGGCAGTAATTCTTGTAAAAAATCTAAACTCTACAAAGAATACGTTTAGAATAAGCCTGTAAACCTAGAAAAACGTCAATTTTTTCTGTTGATGTAAAGAAAATAGACAAATAATTTAATTCAATTAATGAATTTTTTTTCTGTTGTTAGACAATTTTTGAGATTTATAAACAAAGCCAATGTGAATATTGATAATACTCTGTTGAAGTTTAAAATTATATGTCAATTGTAAAATTTAAATTTCACTGAAAAAATCTTGTCTCAAGATGAGGAGAAATTCAATTTGATATGCAATAAAAATGAGTTCGGTACAAAAATGAATATAAGTTGAAAAAACATTTAAAAATACATGTTACCAAGTAATATATTTTAAATGTAAATAAATCAATTGAATCGAAGGAAGTAATCATCGATAAAAATGAAAAATAAATTTCAAATAAGAATTATTTATAATGGTAAATACAAAGAAGGTAAGAAATCTTACTTCTTCATTCTCATCTGCTACATAACGATCCCCTTCACGAGTTACGTCCCCTCTGCGTCGAGCAGTTCGATCACCTCTTCGATTAGGAGTTAGCCTACGTTCTGGAGTTGGGATACCTCTTGGACGGTCAGTTCGATCTCCTGCTCGAGTCACGCCACCTCTACGTATTGGAGTTCGATCACCTCTTCGATTAGGAGTTGGCCTAACTTCTGGAGTTGGGATACCTCGTGAACTATGAGCTTGACCTCCTCCTCGAGTCGAGCCACCTCTACGTATTGGAGTTCGATCACCTCTTCGATTAGGAGTTGGCCTAACTTCTGGAGTTGGGATACCTCGTGAACTATGAGTTTGACCTCCTCCTCGAGTCGCGCCACCTCTACGTATTAGAGTTCGAGCACCTCTTCGATTTGAACTTGGGGTACCTCCTGGACTGCGAGTTCGAACTCCTCCTCGAGTCGCGCCACCTCTACGTATTGGAGTTCGAGCACCTCTTCGATTTGGACTTGGGGTACCCCCTGGACTGCGAGTTCGATCTCCTCCTCGAGTCGCACCACCTCTACGTATTGGAGTTCGAGCACCTCTCCGATTTGAACTTGGGGTACCCCCCGGACTGCGACTTCGATATCCTGCTCGAGTCGCGCTACCTCTACGTATTGGAGTTCGATCACCTCTTCGATTAGAAGTTGGCCTAACTTCTGGAGTTGGGATACCTAGTGCACTATGAGTTCGACCTCCTCCTCGAGTCACGCCATCTCTAAGTATTGGAGTTTGATCGCCTCTTCGATTAAGAGGTGGACTATCTTCTAGAGTTTGGGTACTTTTTAGACTGTCAGTTCGATCCCCTCCTTGAGTTACGGAATCTTTTTGTTTAGGTGTTTTTTCACCTTCAGGAGTTCCATCAACTTTATGAGTAGAAATCGGACCATCTTCTGGAGTTCCATCATCCCCACGGATTACGCTACCTCTTAGAACGGGAGTTGTACCACCTTCTGGAGTTTGGATACCTCCTCGACTGGGAGTTCGATCACTTCTAATAGTTTCGACACCTTTTCTATCAGGAGTGCCATTTCTTCTAGAAATTTCATCAGGTCTCCGATCGCGAGTTAAAACACCGTTTGAAGTTTCTCCACCTCTTTGACTAAAAGTTTGACTACCTCTAGTGGTTGAATCGTCTACTAGTGTTGCATCAAGTTTTCCAGTCGGATGAGTTTTTGAAATTTCTTCATTTCTTTTAGATAAATTGAAGCCGTTTCCTGATGATGCTGTTGCATGTCGTTTTCTTTTCAGATCTTAAAAATGAATTATGAAAAAAAAGTTTAATGATGTTGTAAGTAGTATGAGTAATTTATTGGGGCAAAGTTATGGTATCCTAAAAGGTGACATTTCTCATAAACAGATTTAGAGTTGTATTTGCTAAGATTTTACTTACCGACATTTCCGAAGTGTCTTTTTACTCTCCCTTCATTTCTCGTTTCCAGAGGTGATAAAACATTTTCTTGAAAAGTGTCTTCGTACATATCCTCAGAATCAGTTTCTTAAAAAATGGAAATTAAGGTAAAGTAGATATAAAATTTCATAGAATAAATTAATAACTTTTTAAAATATACGGTTATGGAATACATTCTTCATATTTCTTGAGAAATTTCATCTTCATTTATCAAAAAGATTCGAAGAGACAATAATAAAATTATTTACAGGCAGAGCTTTTTTATGTTGAATTGTATTAAAATTTAGATTCAGTTAAAAACTGATTGACACGAAAGCAAATTTTCGAATGACTTAGAACAATACTTATATTACAAATACTGATTAAACTTAAATAAGAAACTGTTTTCAGTAAGAGGACTGTTTATAGTGAATTAAAATTTGAAAATTAGATTGAATGTAGAGTAATTTAAATATAAATCAGATTATTGGTATTTTTCAAATTTTGAAATTTATGCAGATTTATTTCAATAAAATTTTTCAATAAACAATAATAATGGAATAGATAAATAAAAATAAAATAAAAAATTATTGACATAATAAATTAATTGAACATAATGTGATTGTTGCGTCATTAATAAACTAATAATTTTTTTATATGAAACATTTCTAAAATAATGTTAGTCCATATTTACGAATAATGGGTATTTACCTATTAACTCGAGATCGGATTCATCTGAAGAAGACATAATTCTTTTTCTACCTTGCATTAAAGTTTTTTGCCGTTTAGAAAAATCTTCCTTTTCTTTGAATAATTGCTTCCTGCTTTTCTGTAAATATTTTAGAAAGCATAAATGTTTTACAACATTTGCACATAAATTCTATATTTTAAGAAAATATTCTCCTATTAACATTTTAATTATCAAGCTAATGTGACAAAAGAAATAAAATTCTCTTGCAAAAAGTTCGTTGTAGAAATTAATGTAATTATTGGTGAAAAATTTCGATTGTAATCTCAATAAGATGAAATAGTAGTAAAATTTTAATTTTATAAATTTATACATAAAATTCATACCAAGAGAATGAATAATTTAAAAAGTGTTTGTTTAGACTTGTAATTAAAACTTTTTTGACCCACTACTGAGAAATCATCTAATTACCAGTTTATTCTTTTCCTCATTCTGATCAATTTCCTTCGACCAATTTCCTTAGAAACTGATACTCCTGAGATTTGGGAAACATAACCGTTTCTTCTGGTTTTGAGAAATCAAATCTTCAATGCTACCTAAAATGAAAACGTTAAACAATACATGATTGGAAAAACATTATTTTATCTTTCTATTTACATAAAATTTTACATTAACTGTACTTAACGTAGTCCAGACTAAATCACCATACTATCAATATTGTCATTTTTTATTTAACTTGACTTTTTTACCATTTTGCAACATTGAAATTGAGATTTTCTCACACATGCCTAGAAATTCTCAATACGTATGTACATAAGTATATTTACTTATGTATTTTTATATGTTGCTTACAAAAATTATACAAGAATTTTTTAAACAAAACTTTTATTAAAATTGAAAAAACATAACTCATATGTAAATTTTTATGATAATTCTAGATAAATTATAATTTTAAAAACTACTTTTTTGGAATCGTTTTTAATTTTGGAAATATAGAAATTGAAAATAATTTAATTTAAAGAAATTATAATGAAATAATTCTGAGAAGTACTTTTTAAATTAATGTTTGAATATAATTTTTTAAAACTCATTACCCTTCAAAGATATTTTCCATTGAAATTTGTTGAAATTCAATTATTTTGAAAACTGGCAGTTTTTGGTAGGCTTATCTAAAACAATAAATTAACATATTAATGAAAACATTTAGATTGGTTGATTTTTTGCACAAGATACGAAAAAACAATATTTCTCTTGTCAAAATCGAAAATTTTGACAAATTAGTATATTAAGCAGCTGAATAAAAAATTTAGTAAAATATAATAAAGCTCCTCTTCATATAAGTTATTGTAAAAAGTGTAAGAAAAATTGAAAATGTTAAATTCAATGATATTTTGATTTGGCGTGGACTAGCTTATTTATTCATTAATATAATTTAATTAAAATTTGTTTTATGTATGTGTATATATATTTTTAAATTCAATTTCGAAGGTAAATGTTTATAAAGACAGTTTATTTATAGGGAATAACAAACACACCAATGTATAACTATTTTAGAAAATTATTGTTTACATTTTGCATGACCAATATACTTACTTCCTAATCTTAAGACGCATATAAAGATATACTTCGATGAGCTCAAAATTAACTTGAGCGGTTTATTTCGGTTAAAATCATTTGCATCTTTGGGAAAAAATCCTTCAATATCCGATATTGAAACATTTTCCACGTCTCCACCTTTGAGAATTTGCACAGTGGCGTGCGTAATTTCGTTAGAAGCCATAATCTGAATGTGCACTTTTATTTACACTAACTTGCAAATTTACACTGAGAATTATAATTAAATAGTATATTTTATTGCTCAACAATAATTAAAATAAAAATTAAAAATGTCACACACTTTTTCGATTTAATTGGAACACAAAAAATGTAAGAAATCAAAAAAAGCATACATTCTGAACCTGAATTTCCCCAATATATTACACGTGCTATATATTTCACCTTGACGATAGTTCCCGGCAATATAACTTCTAAGTCATGTGATTTTTGTTCAAAAAATTCACCAATGAAAAGCAAGCATGATGTTTGAGATGCGCAAAAAGACAAGGGTAAAAGAGAACTCTACACTGCCTATCCCTGATGGACACTACCTGACTATGGTAGACAGGGTTAAAGGCCAATGCACAATAATTCGAGAACGAGACGCATGAGGTAGAAAGGATACAAATATATACTCTGTCCTTTTCTAACTCATGTTTTGCGTTCTTCGCAAAAGCCGTACGCGAAACTAGTGAAACAGTTGTGCATTAGGCCTTTAAGTATTATGAAAATTCCTTCTGCTACTTTATGTTTGCCCTTCATTGGAGTGGTTGACGTTTTAATTTATTTTAATTTTTTACCAAATGTATAGTGTATTTGCTGTAATGCGGAAAAGTTAAAACTTATATTTAGAAGTCAGTTAAACCTTTGATCAAAATGTCTTCTGATGATGAAAGCGTTGAGGTAAGTACATATTTCTTTTAAGGAGTCTTTTGATAAAAACATTTAAATATTTCTTCGTTAGTAACAGTAAAATATGTTTTTGGAAAAAATTACGATTTATACTTTTCTGTACATAAAAATTTAGCACCTTGTTTTGAATCTTACAATGAATCTCATAAAGTAACTTCCTTATATATTAGGTATGAATGAAAATATGTCTTTGCAATTAAAAAAGAATTTGACAGAATGTGCTTTTTACTCAGGAAACTTTTGCCTAAGTTTCTAAAAAAACAATTGCTTTAACGTGTATTGCTTTTGTTCTTAGGCAAAATTGCCTAAGTAAAAAGCACATTCTGTCAGATTTTTTTTTAGTGTGTGACCTTCAACAGGATTCCTATAGAAACTGGAAATCATGGAATTGGTATGGAATATTTAAAAGGCTTCTGGAAATCAGAGAAATAATGGAAAAGGCCTGGAATTTTTAAAAGTTTCTAAATTTTTTTTGTTTTCCATTTTTTTTCTTGAATAGAAATTCAAATAATAATAAAGCTAAATGGCATAAAAGAGAATAAAAAATTGTTAAATTTTAAGAAATTCGGATTTTTGAATTTTTGATCATTTTTGATAATTTTAGATTTTTTACTAAAGGGTGGAGACTATTAATTAAGTAAAGTGTTTTTGAAGAGCCCAAAAATAATGAAGCTAAATACTATCAAAGAGAAGAAAAACTGTTAAATTTTAAAAAAATCGGTTTTTCGAATTTTTGATAAATTTTGATAATTTTAGAATTTTTACCAATGGGTGGAGACTATTAAATAAGTAAAGTGTTTTTAAAGAGCCTAAAAATAATGAAATTAGATTTAAAATTCCACTGGAATTTCGTAAAAATTTGACCTGGAAATCATGGAAAAGGTATGGAATTTTAAATGCGGATTTCTGTAGGAATCCTGTTCAAAGAAATATGCGAACTTTTATTAAAACAAAAGTGTATTCCTTCTACATCTCTCTCACTTTCAAGTTTAATAGAATATTGGAAATTTTATATATAAAAGAATTCTATTTGAAAACAACCTCAAACATAAACAATTGCCAATGTGAGGTAATTAATCGTTGTACTCCTTCATTCATTTATTCAATAAATTTTGAATTATCTTATTATTATTTTGATATCTTGTTCTTGATTTATTATCAATTTTCAACTATTTAAATAATTTTTTTTTAATTTTTTAATTTTTAAATTTCCTCCTGTGAATTGAACTATATAGAATAGTACAGTAAATTTTAAAAAATAAATAAAATTTTTCGCGTATAGAATTTTCTGTTGTTTATTTATAACCGTAAAAAATTAAACAATGTTAATTATAAGTCTTAAAATATTAATTACATAGGCACACAAAAAATAAAAAGTGCCGTGGCCGAAACACCTACAGTAGTATATTCCCATACATTTTTGGCCGTTGAATCCGAATCCGAAGTCCGAATGCTCAAATTGTTTCTTTTTTTAGTTATACTCAAAAAACGAATCAACACACGAATTTGAACCAAGAAAATTAAAAAAAATTTTGTAACATAACAGTAGCATATTTTTATGTATTTTTTCCCGCTGAATTCGGATTTGAAGTCAGAATTGACAGACGTGCTCAAAATTTTGAACTAAACTCAAAAAAACCGAATTAAAATGATGAAAATGAAAAATTTCTTCTGTGACACTGCAAAAGTATATTCCCATGTACTTTTTCCCGCTGAATCCGAATTCGCAGTCAGAATTGACACATTTGCTCAAAATTTTAAGATAAGCTCAAAAAATTGATAAAAAAGCGATTTAAAATAAAGAAATGGGAATTTTTTGCTATGACACTACACTACAGTATTTCCATATATTTTTACACTCGGATCTCGCATTTGAAGTCAGAACCCAGTAAGAAAGCAAAGATTAAGAAACATTAAAAAAAATTCTATCCTTTTGAATTCCATGTCCTATGCTTCTGAATTCCGCGACAGTAGTTGAAAAGTTTACAATTTCAATCCTTTCAAATGCTCATACAAATATACCTCAGTATAATAATATTATACTAATATTGTTGACATTGCATAGAATTTTCAATTACTTTCAAATAACTGCACTCATGACTTTATTTGCTATTTTAAAAAAGAATAATTATTAAATTATCAGTTAAGAGTGTTAAAAGTGTTTAAAGGTCTCTGAAATTTTTAGGTTATGATTTATTGTTTAACAGAATAACGGCCCTGACTCGTTTAAATTACGTAAAATTGGTAAACAATCAATTTTTCAGCAAGTTTTTCTTTGAACACAAACACTTTTTACAAAATCTGCCAATGTATGTATCTTATAAATTACAAAAATCCAGAAGATTGCTTGAATGCATGCAGAAACGCGGTTCCAATGAAAAATTGAAAAGTGATGTAATGACAGGCTGTAATCATTTCGGATGGGATTGGAAAGCATTCAGAAAAAATTTTGTCTTTGTTAACAATTACAAACAGAATTGAATTGCATACATTTTTAGACGAAACGTGGTCCTATCAAGGTATAGAAAAGTATTGGACAGAAATGGCATTCAAAAGTATTGGATAATTTCTACTACACCATACAGAGTTTGAATTATTTCAATCCTTTTCAATTGAATAAATTACTTTAATTTATTTTCAAGTTTTTGTTAATTTATAAATTCTCTACAAAATAAAATAATCAATTTTTACAGAATGTAAACACAACCACTGAAAAAATGGAATGTGATACTGATTTTGATAAGGAGGTACACATGCCGGAATTAACATCAATAATAATAGAAGAAAATCCTGTGAATGATATTCCATTAAAAATTCAAAAGATTTTTTTGAGTGATGAAGAAACTGAATCTGTTTTCTTAAATGAAAGGATTCTTGACAAAGATAAGGATCATCACTCTGAAGAAATCAAGTTATCGGATGTCACCGGGGTAAATAAATTTAAAATAAAATGTTACTGTTTAAATAATTTACATTTTGTTTTTAATATTAAATGAAATATAAATACAAAAAGTTAAAAATCTTTTTTAAGATGCTTTCTAAAAGTATGAACAAATTCAATTTACATATTATAACGTTTCATTCAAATA